ACAGAGATCCACCCTCAGCTTGTGAGGATCCATTGGGGATGCATTGATTCCCCCCATAGGGATCCATGGGGGATGCAGAGATCCACTCACAGCCCATGGGGGATGCACAGATCCACCCATAGCCCATGGGTGAGGTGTCCATGCTGGAGCAGTGGATGCCTGGAGGGGGCTGTGATCCAGTGGGAGACCTGGTGGAGAGAGAGGGGCTCTGCTTCCAGGCTGGAGCAGCCCGGCCTTGGAGGACTGCACCCATGGCACAGCAGCTTTGGGGGGCTGTGTGCCCATGGAAGGAACTCTCATTGCAGCAGTTTTGGGGGGCTGTGTGCCCATGGAAGGGACTCACATTGCAGCAGTTTTGGGGGGCTGTGTGCCCATGGAAGGGACTCACATTGCAGCAGTTTTGGGGGGCTGTGTGCCAATGGAAGGGACTCACATTGCAGCAGTTTTGGGGGGCTGTGTGCCCATGGAAGGAACTCTCATTGCAGCAGCTTTGGGGGGCTGTGTGCCCATGGAAGGGACTCTCATTGCAGCAGTTTTGGGGGGCTGTGTGCCCATGGAAGGAACTCTCATTGCAGCAGTTTTGGGGGGCTGTGTGCCAATGGAAGGGACTCACATTGCAGCAGTTTTGGGGGGGCTGCTGCTTGTGACACTGGACCCACATTGGAGAAGTTCATGGAGAGCTGTCTCCCCTGGGAGGAACCCCACAGTCTCACAGGGGAAGGATTCCTCTCCCAGAGCAGTGGAAGAAAATCTCACTGATGAACTGACCAAACCCCCATGGCCTCTCTCCCTGCACTGTCTGTGGGAAGGAGAGAAGGGCTGAGGTGGAAAAAGCTGTTTTAAGGGCTTGTTTTACTTCTCATTGTATTCTGATTTTGTTAACAATAAACTCACTTTGTACCTCTAAGCTGAGCCCTTGGAGTGCTCTCTCCTGGTCCTTACCTCAACTCATGAACCCTTGGTTTGAATTTTTTCTCTCCTCTGTGCAGCTGTAGCAGGGGAAGGTGAGTGAGTGACTTCCATGGGTGCCTGGTGTTTGGCCAGTGTCAAACCACAATGGATCCATCCAGGAAATCCTCCACAAACAAAAAGAAGCCCCATGACCAATCCCACCCAGACACCCATGTCCCAAAGAAGGATCCCTGTGCTGCAGTGAGCCTCCTTCCCCAAGGAGCAGGACACCAAACCTCAGCACAGGGATGCAAAGGAGCCACATGTAGCTGAGTTTTGTCACTCCAGGCCACAATTAATTGTTTGCTGTGAGTGGCAGCCCCTGGTTCAGCATTTTCTGAATTAACTTATCGGTAATTCCTGCTACAGATTAGGTGCCCTTCAACTATTTTCTTGCTATGTAAATACTGTCTGTTTTATCTCCTTAGTCTGAAGCCTCTGGTACCACTGGAAGAAATTTTACCTTCAATTTTTTGCTTGCACCACCCACAAGGTATCCAGAGATCCTGAGGAACTACCTGTAGTATGCATTTAGAATAGGAAAGATGAATTTGGGGAGTCTCCAAAGTGTCTGACAAGTACTGGACTTGCATCAACACCCTGTCCAGGTTCTACCTCCCCCATGTTCCTTAAACTCTGCAGAAGAAGGCAGTGCCCAGGCTGGCAACCTTAGATTGGCATTGAAAACCCCAAAACTGACTCCCTGCAGCCTTTTCTCCAGCCATCTACATCCTCAAGGTTCTCAGGCCAGATGGAGACAGAAGTAATTGATGACCCTGAAAGCTGAAAGCCTTCACACAAAAGGAGACTGAACCCTCCCATTCCACAGCAGCTTTGAATCCAACAGGTAAATTCAGGAGCAAACACTTCCAGGCACTCAGTCATGACAAGGAAGAGATTCTGCCAACACATGGAGTTCCCTCTTCAGCTACTTGAGATAAGCAGCACCACTAAACCAAACCAGAATCCTTCCACCTTTGGAGGGGAGAGAACCAACACCCCCAACCCAGCATTACCTGCTTGCCCAGCCTTCCCTTGTCTTCAGTTTTTACATCTTTAGATTCATTAAAGATCCTGAGACACTCCTCCATGGGATCTGACTCAAAGTCCACATCTTTCTCAAGGATGGAATAATCAATGTCATCAGATGTAGAGGAGGATGATGACGACTTGGACAGCTTGGAGCGCTTTGCTTTCTTTGTCCTGTCCCTGTCACTGTCAGAGGCTGAGCCAGAGTCAGCCCCATCCAAGTCTGAGCTCACATCAAGCAGTGAGGAGGACAAAGGCCGCCCTCTGTCATCCTCATCTCCACTCTCATCCCCAAACAGGTCCACGTGACTCAAACTCTGCTGCTTCTGACCCTTCTTGGGGTCTCCTTGTCCTGCACAAGTGACCTTGTCCTTCTTTCTCTCCAGGGAGCTCTTGGTCCCTTTCTCCTTGTTTTTTCGACCAGAGCTTTCCTTGCCATTTTTCACATCAGCAGTTTTGCTCTGAGGATCCTTCTTGCTGCTCCCCACTTTCTCTGTGCCCTTGGTGACACCCTCGCTCTTGCTTTTCCCTGAACTGCTGCTGCTGGACTTGGATTTTTCTTTCTTACACCCATCCACCTTTTCTGACTTGTGTTTTTCAGGTTTTTTCAAGTTCCCATCTGTTTTCACTTTGACGCTTCTGTCTTTGCAGTTTTTCTCTTCATTCTTAGTTTTTAATTTTTCTTCTTTCTTGAGCACTTTGTCTTTGTCTGCATTTTTATTTTTCTCCTTCTTCCCAGCCTCACTGAGGCCTGTTGCTTTACTAACATCAATTTTCTTCTTTTTTGTTTTGTCTTTGGAGTCTTTGTTTTTATTTTCAATTTCCTTGTTGTTCTTACCAGAACACAACTTTGCTGCCTTTGAGTTCTTGTCTGATGAGTTCTTGGCAAGGTTTTTCTGTGAATTTGGAAGGTTCTCCTTGTGCTGTGCTGCTTCTTTGCTCCCCTGGGAAGCAGAGCCTTCCAATTTTGTGCTCTGCTCTTTGCTGGAGGACTCATTTGACTCACTCTCTGAACCAGCTTTGGAGGGTGAACTACCAGAAGCTGTTTTATATTCCACCTCAGCCTCATCTTCAGAGGAGGAGAACCTGGCCAACACCTCATCATCATCAGGATCTTCACAGAGCTTCTTCCTTGATGGAGAGTAGGAATCCTCATAATCAGAGGCTCTGTCCCTTTTGGACCCCTTGGTTGTGCCTTTGCCCAACAGCCTGGCAGAGTAATTGGAAAGGGGGTCATATTCCAAGTCTGTGGAAGGCTTGGAGTCATCAATCACATATTTGTTGTTGGTGACAGTGCTGCTGTATTTTTTATTCTGCACCACAGCCTTGGGGACGTACTCCAGCGAGCTGCCCTTGGCGCGGGAGGAATCCAAAGTGTATTTACTGGAGCGGGCAGCAGCAGCCAGAGGAGTGGGGTTGTAGTCTGAGTTGTTATTGAAGTTGTAGCTCCCTGGATTGTACTCCAAGGAGGCAAAGGAATCACTCTGAGGCCCAGCAGCTGGCACAGGTGTGTTTGAAATGAGGGAGGAGCCCTCTGAAGCACCAAACTCCTTCGTGGTTTCCAGCAGCTCCTCGTACTTCTTCTGCTCCCTCTCCACTTCGTTCTTCACTGCCTCAATGGCCTTGTTGACCAGCTCCAGCTCCAGAATTCCAGGGGTGACATCTGTGATGTCAGCCAGAAAGCCATCCTCCACCTCCAGGGAGGGCCTGGGCAGCTCAGGGTTGTAGGGATCATAGCCTCGCTCTGCAAAGGGGAAAAAATCATTTACTGCCAGCAATTCAAGTGAAATTTAAAATGAGGCCTTTTTAAGGTGTGTTTTGATCAAACCCCAACACTGAATGACACAACCAAAAGCCACATTCTTACACCACAGAATAAATAGCAAAAGCCACCAGTGATGTTCTCTGGCCTAGACTAAACCAGATTGTAAAACTTACTCCCAGGACTAAAGATCTGTTAAAAAAGTGCTTTTAAGACTCATGGAAAAGCTCTTAAAGCTCTATAAATTAAATATTCTTCAAGGCACCAACGAATAATCCCCTGTATTAGGAGCTGACTGTGCACAAAACTATCTGCTAAATTCAATGAAGCCACCAAGGAAAGAAGAGAAGTGAGAAACTCTGGATTAGGTTCTCACTTGTCAATGCCAACACCTAAAACCACCAAAAGCCTCAAGGCCCAGAGATTCTTATGGCAGCTGCAGGAAAACCACTCTGATCTGAACTGACAAACTGAGAGCTGCTGGTAGGAAGGAAAAACTACAACAGGCAACACAACTCAACCACTCAGAGCAACCACCAAGACAAGAACACTGAACAGCCAAAATATTTCCCTTTCCAGAAAAGTCCCTTTGATGGCCTCTCTTCCACATCCAGCCTGGACAGGAGAAGGCTCCAGGGACACCTCAGAGCCCCTTTTGGGGCCTGCAGGGGCTCCAGGAGAGCTGCAGAGGGACTGGGGACAAGGCCTGCAGGGACAGGACACAGGGAATGGCTCCCACTGCCACAGGGCAGGGCTGGGTGGGAGATTGGGAATCAGGAATTGTGGAATCCATGCCTGGAATGGATTTCCCAGAGCAGCTGGGGCTGCCCCTGGATCCCTGGCAGTGCCCAAGGCCAGGCTGGGCAGGGCTGGGAGCACACTGGGATGGGGGAAGGTGTCCCTGCCCATGGTGGGGCTGGCACTGAATGATTTTTCAAGTCTCTCCCAACCCACACCATTCCAGGACTCCAACAATGACAGAAGCTTCAGGAACATTAACAGCTGCTTTCTGACTCTGTTTTCAATCCTTGTTTTATCACAGCATCTCTGGATGCTGACATTCCAGAGGGGCTTTTTGTTCTCTGCTACAAGGACAGTACAAAACTGGCTCTCCAACATGGATATGCATAAGAACCAAACAAAAAGCAAAGAGAAAGAAAACAGAAAATTAAAAACCTCTCAGGTCTAAGAGGGCTGAGAGAATTCCTCATAACAGTCAGGGTCAAAAGAGCTGTTTCTACCATTCTCGTAAGACTGAGGGGTTTGGGGTTTTTTTGGGGGGTAGGGGTAGTTTTGGGGGTTTTTAGAGAGGATACATAAATGCAAAACTTCCTTTGGCAACGGAAAAGGATCTCTCCAGCAGTTGGCAGAACTGGCCCCTGAGGAAGCAGAATGAAAGAGGCTGGGTTAAAATCAAGGCAGAAAATACTTTTTATCCCTTTGGGTTTGCAAGGTTTTTTTCCAAACCAATTAGCTCCTGATTGAGCAGGGACTCTGGGCAGTGGCAGAGTGATGGCACCACCCTCCACAGGCCAGCCTGAGCCCTGCTCAGAGCCAGAAACCTGGGGAAAGAGGAACAAGGTGCTATTTCTACAGCCAGCTCCCCTCCAGCTATTGCAGAGAGCTGTAATGATGACACAAAGAACATTTCCAAAGCCAAGGTGTGCTCCTCTCTGGGACACAGGGAGGGAGCAGGTGACCAACCAGGGACACAGCAATTCCTGGTTAGAAACCTTGAAGAAAAGCAGGTAACAAGGCAAAAACATGAACAAACCCCTATGCAAACAGCAGCAGCACCAAGGCAAGGCTATGGAGACATTATCAGAATTATCAGGGATAAAATCAGCCTGAGGAGTGAGAAGGAGCAGCTCATGTCTGACCATGGGGTGAAACATCAGCTCCACACTGGCAGAAAGCAGCAGGAGTCAGCTCTACCCTCTAAATCTGGATTGAGACCTCAAATGCAGCACAAATATTTGAAGGGAACAGCTGAAAGGCTGATAATTCATGCAGGGCTAAATATCAGATGGCCTGCAAACAGAGAACAGAGTCTGGATCTAGAGACTTGCCAAAAAACAAAGCAACAAACCCTAACTAAACAAAAGCCACCTTGTACATGCAGAAAACCAAACTATTCTAAATATATCAGGATCAGGGAAAGCAGAGGGCAAGCCCAGCACAGACATGGTGGCTGCTGCTTATCTCTGGCACAAAGCTCCTGGTACATTTTCTGTGCCTGGAATGATGAAAACACACATTATAACCTGAGGACATGGCACAGGCTGGGAGCCAGGGCAGGGAAAGAGCTCTGTGCAAGTGTGGGGGAGGCCTGATGGGTTCTCCAGCACTGCTGATCAAAGGCTGCTGTAGTAAACCCCTCAGGTTTAGCCAGGGCCCCTTGGAGAANGGCTCAGGGGGCCCTTGTGGCTCTGCACAGCTCCTGACAGGAGGGGACAGCCCAGGGAACAGGGACAGGAGGGAGGGAACGGCCTCAGGCTGGGCCAGGGGAGGTTTAGGTTGGAAATTGGGAAAATTTCTTCACAGGAAGTGTTGTCAGAGATTGCCACAGGCAGCCAGGGCACTGATGGAGTCCCTGTCCCTGCAAGTGCTCAAAAATGGTGTGCATGTGGCACCTGGGGACATGGTTTAGTGGCAGGGGTGGCTGCTGGACAATGATCTTAGAGATCTTTTTGATTTCCAAGCCCTGCTGCTGCTGCTGAAGGCACCCATTGCCCTGGGTCACCTGCAGCTGGCAACAAAAGGTGCATTCATGGAGAGGTGGGGAAGGTGGAAGCTGTTTGGAGACTCTTTGGGAAAGGAAAAAATAAAGGCATTTTTATTTCACGTCATCGGAACAGCTTTGTTGGCTTAAGAGCTTGCTGTGTTTACAGAGCCAGCACTCAGCAAAGGGACAACCTCTGTGATTGCAGAAAAATTATCACCACTGGAAAATCATTCTGAGCTTTGCATTTAACACTTGACAGAAGAGACAGTGGTGCCTCAAGAACAGAATGTTTCAGAGAGGTTTTAGCAGCAGCCTGAGTTCTGCTACTCTTCAGAATTAAAGAGCACACAAGAAATGGCAGGTTTTGGCACAGAGCTCGTTCACCAGGACCCAAAGTAAATTTCCAACAATTAATTTAACAATAACATGCAACCACTTGGAAATAATTAACACTGAGATTTAAAATAGTACATTTCAAATAATCATCCAGAGGAAATGGGTTAGGAGGGCAGCAAAGGGGAGCTAAGAAAAATGTTTCTTCAACTTCAATTCCAAATCTAGTCCAAGGATTTGCTTTGATCCTTTTTTGTGTTTTTGAAAAGTAAATCTAATTATAAAATTAAGTGTTAAATGCAGAGATAACCTTGTGTTGGTCAAGGAACACCAGGAGCAAGGTTTGAGAGGCATTAGAGGCAGAAGAATCCCTGTGCACTCCTTGGATTTGTTCTCCAGGGGAGGCATTTAATGCCACAGCCTCAAAGTACATCATGAACCTCTACAGTCGTTTCTTTAATGGAAAAAAGAATGCTAATATGAGAAAAGAAAGTCTGATACTAGCAAAACTGAAAAACAGTCACAACAGTCATCTCTCACTGCAAGGTATTTTTAGCCTGCTGGGTTCCAGCAGGGCAGTGCTGCTTTCCCCAGGTGTTGTGGCCAATGGGGCCACCTGTCCCCAAGGGCTGAGCCCCAGGGTCACACTGAGGGACAGGAGCAGCCAGACAGCACCTCTGCACTGCACCCTGAGCTGTGTGCCCAGCTCAGCCATCCCAGACCGAGGGCAGGCAGTGCCCAGAGAGAAATCATGGAATGGTTTGGGTTGGGAGGGACCCTAAAGCCCATCTTGTTCCTGAACACCTTCCACTGTCCCAGGGTGCTCAAAACCCCATCCAGCCTGGCCTTGGCACTGCCAGGGATGCAGGGGCAGCCCCAGCTGCTCTGGGAAATCCATTCCAGGGATGGATTCCACAATTCCTGATTCCCAATCTCCCACCCAGCCCTGCCCTGTGGCAGTGGGAGCCATTCCCTGTGTCCTGT